ATGCTTATGTGACGTGCACTCTATAAGTGCCTTAAAATAAAGGCTTGAATACCCTAGGGACTTCCTTCTTTGATTGTGCAGACAATATTCAAAAGATTTGAAAGATCCGTTCTTTCTCAATGATTGCACTATAATATCCAAAGAAGGAAGAAGATAATGGTTTCTAAGTAATAAGATAATGGATCTGTTTTATTTGTGCGATCAATAACATATACTCTAGGAAGTAGGCAATATCTTTCCTAGTGATGGCTATCAACKTAAGCGTATACCTTGGGGATTTCATTGGTAATCACTCTACATCTTATTCAATRYTTATGAGAGCCGATGTTTGAGGGTTATTTAGGTGACTATTGTCCAAGTATTTGATTCTGGAAAAATGCTGGTATTTAGTATTACATAACATTATTGTTTTCCATGCCGACTGCGATATGTAGAATTCTCGTGCTTGGTTCATATTACATCACTCTTTTGTTGGAGACCTCCATATATACCATCACTCACAGACTTGAAGAACAAGTATCACCACGATAGAAGATCATGRAAGACGGTGAAGAAAAAGCCTTTCTCTTCAGTCAAACACCGCGAGATGAATTATCAAAACCTGTCATCGCATGGACAAGTTGAAAAGCAAGTAAGAGAGTATGTTCAGTTACAATTGGTTTGAAAACTTTTATGAATGTTTTCTCTTCATTCACTTCAACAGCTCGCACAGAACAATCATCGACATGCGAAAACAGCCTCATGCTCCCAGCAAATAATTTGGCACTAAAGCACAAGGCATATGAGGTAAAAAACCTGCAATTCTGGAACATAATAATTGTAGTAGAATTTTATATTTCTTCCGTCGCATACATTTACTGAAATTTTGATTCTAAACCCATGTGAAAGTTTATGAATTTAGTATAATGTTCGTTTCTTTCCGTAATTGTTATCATAGCTAATGTTTGTGTTTCATTTCGTTATAGGATGATACTCATATGCACTGAAAAGTACTGCTAAACATACTGACAATAAAGAACCATGTTGTTTTGTGTCAAATGTTTATTTAACGGTCATCGCAAGAAAGATTTCTCAAAGTAAATATAGGAAACATTTTTTTCTGGACTTATTTTGAAAGTAGATCAGTGCCTTATTGAAATGTTAAGTTTAACATGAGTTAGTTTTTGTTGTTTCTGACTTCAGTTGAAATTTCAATCGTTAAACATTGAATAACAGAAATATGTCGTAGACCAGAATTGATGCCGAAAGGTTTAATAGTGCAAGTGAAAGGATTTGAAATAGCAAAATTGTTGTTTAAAAAATTAGCACTATTGAACTTTTTGTTAACAAAACTGTTCTTCGATTTACTTTTGATATAAAATGTATGAACTTTTGAAATATCAGCTGAATTCAACAACAGCAAAAGACTACTTGTGTTGAGCTTCACATTTCNTTTTATGGGATACACAAGTTTGTAATTACCATGATTATGTAGCAGACACATGCGAGAATAGGTTCTGCTAGTATCAGCTTGTGACACTAAGTATTCGTTGAGTTATATGCTTTCAAAGTCGGTACTGAAGAAGGTCAATTAGAAAGTTGTTAATGTTTGGACGTTATTTGTTCGATTTTCAAGAAGTCATAACTATTTAAGGATGTAATGGATTTCCTTCAAACCTTCACAGATGTGTTGACAATCATCTAGAGCATACGGGCCACCAACATACTTGGGGTCTGTGACGTCATCTTGACGTAGTAAATTTAGTGCAAACATTGGTGAAAAAAATCAAACATTGCGTTATGTTTAAGGCAATGCACTAGATTAAAAGTACTATGGTTGTGTAGTATACCTTTGCGGTAACATGCTCTAGCAGTATTAACTAGGTGCAAGCTTTTCCTGTTGAGTTATAAGCTCTTAAAATCGTTAGTGAAAAAAGGCACTTCGAGAATTTTCAATATTTGGTCGTCTTTTTTTCGATTTTGAAAAAATCATAACTCTATAAGGATGTAACCGAATTCCTTCAAACCTTCACAGATGTGTGGACAATCATCTACAGCATACGGGTCACCAACATACTTGGGGTCTGTGACGTCATCTTGACGAAGTAAATGGAGTGCAAACTTGGGTRAAAAAAAAGTAAATATTGCTTATTGTAAAAGGCATTGCACTAGGTTAAAAGTACTATGGTTGTGCAGCATACCTCTGCGGTAACATGCTCTAGCAGTATTAGCTAAGTGCAAGCTTTTCCTGTTGAGTTATAAGCTCTTAAAAGCGTTAAAGAAAAAAGGCACTTAGAAAATTTTCAATATTTGGACGTGATTTTTTCGATTTTAAAAAAATCATAACTCTATAACGATGTAACTGAATTCCTTCAAACCTTCACAGATATGTTAACAATCACCTAGAGCATACGCGCAACCAACATACTTGGGGTCTGTGACGTCATCTTAAAGTAGTAAATTGAGCGCAAAAATAGAGGCGAAAAAGAAAAATTGGATATTGACGATATTTTTTTAAATTTTTAAAAAATTATATCTCTTTAAGAATTAAATGGATTGACTTGTCCCCTGTACAGTTGTGTTGCCAGTAATCCAGTGCATACTTCTAACCAACATACTTGGGCTCCATGACGTCATCTTGCTGTGCCAAATCAAGCTCAAACATGGCTGACAAGAATGAAAAGTTGATATTTGGACAAGAGATTTATCTTCGTGGTTTTTATGAAATGTAACCATTGTTGCGGTGTTATCTACAGTGCCTCCCAAAGTATCCAGTCCACCAACATTGTTTGGCTATCAGAGAAAAGACACAATAAATCCACAATAACCCCGGACTTTTTACATTTCCCCAGAGTTAAGGAAAGCTTTTAAGGGTTAACGTCAAAATGTCATTGGTACACCTGCAGGGGGTCATGATGAACAGTAACCTTTGACATTTAGGAGATAACCCTCTATTCCCAAGTTTTTATTCGCTAACCCCGGACTTTTTAAAGACCCCCAGGGTTAACGAAAGCTTTGAAGGGTTAAGGTCAAAATGTCATTGGTATACCTTCATGGGGTCATGATGAAGAGTAACCTTTGACATTTGGGACATTACCCACAATTCCTAATTTTATATTCGCTAAC